GAGATGAAACAATAGTATTTTATTGTTTATTTTTTAAACCCTCACCTTGAACTCTCAATTTGTTGTAATAGAAGAAAAAAATATTGACAATGATTACACATCATTAAAAAAATTGCAATAATTAACAAATATTCAATCTAATTTTAAGATTATAGTAGAGTATAAGAGATCACAATTAGAAAAATAGAAAAAGAATGAAAGAATTATATATATACACACACACACACACATATATATATATATATATGTGTGTGTGTGTGTGTGTGTGTGGACGGATCCATGGCCATGGCGGTGGGGGCGACTACCCCCACTAAAATTTTACTCTTTCTCATTTTTATATGTATTATCATTTTCTTTTACAATATATGTATATATATTAATTATATTTTAGTTCACTAAAAAAATTATTAAGTAGTGACACACACTCTAAAGTGACAAATTTATCACTAAAAGTTACTTCTACATACATTATAAATATAATATATGTTGATATATTGTTAAAATGTGTAAATATAAATTAGAGTGATATTTTTTGTATGTCACTATATGTAACATTTTTTATAATGTTTGTTTTTTTTATATCTAATATGTTAAAATATATTAATATTTCATTTATATTTTATTCTATTGTGTAATTACTTCACTTTATGACAAAATTGTCTTAATCTTTTATTATTATAATATATTTTATTTTTTTGACTAAAAAATTTATTACTTCTTTATTCATTGATGTCATAATTTAGTTTACAAATATAGGTTATTTTTCAATTTCTAATTTAGCTTTTAACCCTTTTGATCTTATATATGTACATTGTGTGTTGGTAGGAGATGATCTAAATTAAGAGGAATGAGAGAAATTGTGATACAATTTTTTTTTACTTTAACATATTTAATAAAAAAATAAATTTACTCGTATAAAAAAATAGGCATTGTTCTCATAAAATATTTTTAAAAAAATGAACTTAGAAATTTAGAAGATTATACAAAAAAACAAATAGTAAATTTTATTTATCCTAATAGTTTATATCAGTTTGTTCCTCTAATATAATTAAGTCACTAAAAATTACAAAGTCACACTTAAATATAATCTCAACAGAAAAATAAAAAGGAGAAATTGTCACTTTATTTATGAGAAAAAATTGATTAATAAAAAAGTAGGTATATTAATTCTTTTTATCACAAAATTATACTTTTTTAAAAAAAGTTATTATATTTTTTAAAAAAAATTATAAAATATTTTATTATTCCCACTTAACAATTTTTTATACCTGCCGCTATGTGTTATAATACATACATACATGTAAGTATATATAAATGTATGCACACACATATATTTATAAAGGAAAAGAAAGGAATTTTTAACCGTCCTTATTTATTAACAATAAAAGAAATATAAGATAAGAGAAATTAAATATACTTAACATCATTGATTTATCTTCCTAAAATTACAAATAAATTTTTATTGAGAAATAAAAATATCACATATCAATTGATTGATTAATTTTAATTAATTTATTTTTTTATAATAATATATTCATATATAATTTAATTATATAAATTTATTTTTTATATTTATATGAATTAAAACAAAATTGATGCCCTATAAAAATGGGACCACCCACCTCAACCTTTGTCAGGACCGCTATTATCTGTATCGACATATAAGTCTCACTGAGTTAACTTACCTTATTTTTTTTATAAAAAATAAATGCCAAGAATTATGATGGCTATAATTTGTATTGAAGTTGAAAGGAATAATGTCTGCTTCAAAAAAGTGGAACGACATGTGAATTAGAAAATAAATGATTCGTTCTCACGAAAGGACAAGTATAATTTTACATATATGAAGGGGTGACGGAGAAATGGGGGTAGAACAATAAAATAAAAATATATGACCTTATATGGCAAGTTTCTCCCTACAAGAACAAGAAGGAACAAATTCAGTTTTATTTAATCAACACTCCATTTGGAAAGAAATTGAAAAATGCATCATATATAACTATTTTTCTAATTTACATTTTATGCTTACATATTATTACTAATATATGCAAATGAATATTAAACTATTTTGTAAAGATAACGCAATGGATTAAATCTTTTCATTTTTATTAATAAATATTTGAGATTAAATTTGACTTTCATTATATTTTATATTCTTTTATGTTAATTTGTGTTTAATATGAGATAAGTGGTTCATAATTTCACTTAAATTTTTTAAAAACATTAGTGGTTAACTTTACTTTACATAAAGTCATATCTTATCCTAACCTAACTCTTCTTTCACAAAAAAAATTGATTATCAAGTGAAATATGTATAATTTTAACTAGAAAACCATTTGATAGAAGTAAAATATAAAAAATAATAAAACTCACTTTTAGTTATTATAGTTTCTTAAATGTAATATTTTAGTCTTTTAAAACTTTTTATTGCAGATTTGGCTTCATTAATTTTGTAAAGTTAAACAAGGTTATCTATTATTAACACATAATCCAAAATCAAGTAGAAAATATTGACCGAGGTCGTGAATGACACTACTTAACAAATAATTAGCCACGTAGAAAATACAATGATATTAAAATAAAAAAATGTTTAAATAAATTATAAATTTTAATTGAAATTTAAAAAAACATATTTGTAGTAAAAAATAATATTGCTCCTTATATGGAAACATGCATGGTTGGGTAACTACCACATAGTGTCACTTGCATTTTGGATGATTTGTTCATAGTGGATCAACATTACTTAATTTTAAAAACTAAATGAACCAAATTTATAATAAAACAAATTTAGGAACCGAAATTGCATATTTATAAAATTACATAGACAAAAAATGAATTAAAGTCTTTAAAGTTATGATCTTATTGTCTCCACCACACATGGATCAACTATCATAAAGTGTGTACTCTCAAATTTTCATGTGTTAAATACTTAAAGAAAAAACTATGTGTATGGAAGGAAATATGTTAAGAGAGGTCAATATATTAATTAAACCTTCATACATTGAGGGAATAGATTTTAACTCTATGTAACATTGTAATTTATGATATCGTTATATTACTCTCAAATGTTTTGTGATATTGAGTTGAGTTGTTAGTGTTAAGAGGCTCAAGAGTCTAAGGATACATATTGAGCTTCAGTGGTGTTGGGAGACGGTTCTCTAGGAAAACACTAATGTAACCTCAAAGGTAAGAGTATACAAGGTTTCTATTTGAATAGAGTTCCATAAACTCATTTTTCTCAACTTTCTGAAGAGGGAATTCTATAGAGAAGGTCTTTAGTCCATGAGTTATTTTTCTCTCAATCATTTTCTCTTCTTCTTCCCAATTTGTTTCTAAGATATGTTGTTGTGATTTAAGTGGTGGAAACCTGGAATCAAATCGTTGATTTTGTTTCTGAGTCGAATGTTGTGCTATTTTCCTTTAGGACTTTGTTGGTATCATGTATGGGCAAAGTTGAGGCACACATGTATGAAATAACCATAATATAAGGGTGAGGTCAAACTATACTGATTATAAGTGACCAATCGAGTAAAGTATGATGTCGAGAACTTAGTTCCTAACCGAATATAGGAAGGTTGTAGCATTTGGACGATAATCGGTGGACTAATCCCATAGGAAGTTTGGTTAAGCTAACTAATGTCATGGTAGACCCTTACCCAGTTGTTCCATCCTTACATTAATACTATACTTGCTTGTTTAAGTGGCAACATTTGAGAAATTTAGTTGTTGTGTTGTGGATTTATATCTAATTTGTTGTTGATCTAGCAAGCCTAGAAAGATCATCTTGTGTTGTCAGTTTGGTAGGATCAAGTCATTTAAATTGTTCATTATGTCTTATAGGATATCTCCTAGTTAAAATGCATGACGACGCATATGAGTTGTTGTGTTGAACATATGATGTATTGAGTAGATTGTGTTGTTCATATACTATGTTGAATTTAGATGATCTATAATGCTGTGTTGATTTAGAGTTGCATTATGTTGATTAGTGTAGTATATTGTGTTGTTAAAGATGAAATGATGATATGATGTTTCAGTGAGATATTTACGTTATTCTTTTTACTTTAACTTACCCTTGCATGTTTTCATGTAGCATGGACTGCGATGATCATACATAGTATGTGAAAAAGGCAAGGATAAGAATGAAGAGTAGTTGTGGAGGCCACCTAGTTGCGTTGGAGTTTGAGGACATTTTGATCACTACCTATTGGTCAAAGTTTGGTATAAAGTGTATAGTTGCTTGATTGACAACTTATGGTGTATAATTTACATTTTTTGGGTTATGATATTTACTTTGCATCTATTTATTTAGTTGATCTCCTTTTTATACTTGCAATATAATACAAATTCTAATATTTGTATATTTATATTAATTTTATCTAATTCAAATAAAATTATCTAGTGAAGATGTTTACAATATTATACAAAATAATATATATATATATATATATATATATAATGATAATATATCTTAAATTTGTTTTGTCTCAATAAAATGTGTTAATTTTAGTTTAGTTTTATTATTTATTTATTTTTTCTAAATTTTTAATTTATTGTTTTTGTCCTTATAAAAAATGAATAAAAAAATAGTCTCTATAAAAATATTTTATTTGATTTTAGTTCTTTTAAATTACATTATTAGTATTTGCCCATAGTATTTAGCGAAATCGGGATAAAAAATGCTTATCGAAAGAAGTTAGAAACTTTCTAGAAGTATCACGTGATGACTTGATACTTAAAAATACTATCACCTGTTAGCTAGAATTGTCATTTCTGTTAAACACAAACAATCAACGACTGACACATAAATGTAAGAACTTAAAAATTAACGATTTCATATATTTAAGATATATAACTTTTAAAAAAAAATACAAAAATAGTTTAATTTATCAGAACTAAAAACACATTATTTAATAATAATAATAATAATAATAATAATAATAATAATAATAATAATATAAAAAAAAATAGTAATAACAGCGCATAGATTCCATAATTACACCCCTTGCTTTTTAGTTTCCATCTTAGAATTGTGAGAATCCCTCGATTCAAGCTCCAACAACCATTTCCATTTCAATTTCAATTTGAAAACCTTTCTTTTCTTCTTCCATGGCGGAATAAGCCCAACCCCGCGCTGTCATGAACCGCCTCCCTCGATGAGCGGGCAGCAGATGAGCCGCCGCGTGGGCGAAGTGGCCGGCAACGCGACGGCGGAGTGCGCGGCGGTGTGCTGCTGCGTGCCGTGCGCGGTGATGGACATGGTGGTGCTGGCCACCTACAAGGTCCCCGCGGGGCTCGTTAAGAAGGCGCTGCTGAAGAGGGAGAAGAAACAGCTGCAGCATCGTAGTAAGAAAAACAACAAGAAGAACGGGCCCACCGTCGCCGCCCAGGACAATGTTGGGCCCAGGCCCACCTTGGAGGACCACCTCGCCGAGGAGGTCGTCCACCAGGAGCAGGACTCCAACATCCAAGACGACGGGTGGGCCCACTTCAACGGAACCGGCTTCTGGCGAAGCACTTCTCAGCGCCACCAACAACAACCTCACCTCCAATCTCACGATTCTCACCCATAGGGACGCCTACACGTGTCGCGCTTCCACTCGCCGATAACTGAACGCCTTTTCAGTGCCATGTGGACCCGCATTTATTTCATTTCCCTGGATTTCTATGCATGTAAGACACTTGTGTAATGTAATGAATAACACTATGTCTATGTCTATGTCTATGGCTATGCTGCATTCGTATTTATATTATACATATTCCTGAACTTGTTTACCAATTTCTGAAACCGCTATTATTTAACATGCCTTGTGCTCAGGCCAATGGCCAAGAGGGGAAAACAAATTGGCAAATATATGTAATGGGTAATAAAATACAAAGTCCATTGCTCACTCTCTTCTTAAATTTACGATATTCATCTTTTATGTTTACTAGAATTATAGGATTCTGGTGATGTGTTCCAAGAGGGAAATTAGAGGAGAGGGAAAGAACGGCTAATTAATTTAAAAGCGGGTTCCACTCTTGCATAATTCCTTGTTGGAATGTCCAGATTCAACTAAAATAGTACAACATTAATATTCATCGTTGGAGACAAAAAAAATTTCCTCATGCTTCATCTTGTGCTCATAGTTATTGCCTCTAGAAGCCGTCGTAATCGATTATGATGAGGGTAATTATTGTATTGCGTGTTTCCTTTCACGTTTCAAACGTTTAAGGCGAAAGTTATTGATAATAATTTTCACGTTAAACGTAATTTTTTACGTTTAAAACGTAAAAGTAAATACAGGAATAATAGTTTTCATTATTTATTTATTTATTAAATATATAATTAATTAATTTATATATAATTTAAATAAAATAAATAAATAATTTGAAGTAAATTATATATAATTGATTATCACTATCATGGTAGATGTCACCATTATTACTAATGATAATTGATAATAATAGTAATGGTGGAACGATAATAAATTATGAAAATTTCTACCGTACCTCAATTATTGAAGAGTTTTGGTACTGTAATTGATGTATATGTACACATCACCATTTAAACATGTTATATTATTTTATAAAAAAAAAAATGAAAAACAAAATTTGTACAATTCAACGGAGTGAGGGTGGTTCCCCACTGTAAAATTGCGGTTTTTGACCATTTTTTGAGGCAACTCAAATTTGAGAGAGTGAGGGTGGTTCCACACTGCAAAATCGCGATTCTCCACCATTTTTTGCCGTAGCTCAAGCAAATAGTCATGTCCTTGCAATTGTTTCCGTAGAGATTTGTGATTGATCCGCATCCGATACAACTCTCAACGTCTCAACAACACAAATTGGAGAAATCGTTCACAAAAAGCATCGTATGCAAGGTCAGAGAATTGGGTCAAAGAAATAGAAAGGCTCCATGTCATCCTATGCAGGGTCAGAGAATTGGAAGATCCCAATTGATCTGTTTGATTCCAAAAAGCATGCTAGAGTCTCACGTGGCGTTCTAGCATTTGTGGATGAGTATGGTAATATGGTCTTTAGGATGATAAAAGAGTCTGATAAAAAGCTTGAACTCCTAAAAGCTAAAACTAAACCCAACGTGCGAGAGATAACAGAAAAAAAAAAAAAAAAAAAA